CATATGATTGGGACTCTAGGTGTGTTTTCCTCCCTTTCTCAGTCCTCCACATTACATTCTGTTACTCTTGCTATTGGTTCCACGTCTTCCATATGTGGTGTTGGTAATGTTGACATAGATTCATTATCCGTATCCTCAGTTTTTTATGTTCGCAAGTTTCCCTTTAACCTTATGTCTGTTAGTAAATTGACTTAGTCTCTTAATTGCTCTATCACCTTTTACCCTTCATCTTGTGCTTTTTAGGATCTCAAGATGGGGATGAAGATCGTTGAGTCGTCTTTCTACTATGGATTGTGAGTCGTGTCAGTTTGGGAAATATCATCGTGTTCCCTCTAGTCCTAGGACGTGTGTCAAGCCCTTTTTCTTTAGTCCATTCGGACATTTGGGGTCTGAATAGAGTAGTGTCATATAATGGTTACAAATACTTTGTAATTTGTGTTGACGATTATTCAAGGACGACATGATTTTACCTTATGAAGTAAAGGAGTGAATTGTTTACCATTTTTCAAAAATTTTTTTTGTTGAGATTCGCAATAAATTTGGTGTACACATTAAGATTCTTCGTAAAGATAATGGTTGAGAATATTTTTATACACCGTTTCAGGAATATTTGGAACATGGCATTATCCATGGCGGTTGAAAAAAAGAACCGCCACCTTTTGGAAACTGTTCGGTCCCTTTTGAACCATATGAATGTTCCTAAACACTTTTGGAGTGATGTTGTGCTTACATATTGTTTCCTTTTTAACCGCTTGCCCATGTCTATCCTTGAAGGTCATTCTCCGTTTTCTGTTTTGTTTCTTGCTTTGTCTCCTTTCTCTCTTACCCCCAGGCATCTTTCTTGGCTATTCTAGGACTTAGGGTACAAGTGTTACAACCACAATTCCTGGCGTTCTTTTGTTTGTCCCAATGTTGCATTATTTGAGTTTGTTCTTTTTTTTGGGGTTGGATGCCACTATTCTTCCTCCACCTCCACTTCCGGTTCCCGTGGAGGACCCCATTCCTCTTGTTCCATTTGTGACCAAGTCTTCGCCTCCAGTGCCACTTCCTGTTGAACGACTACCAATCCAGCAAGTGCATATGCATCGTCATGTACCAGCTCCTCCTCCAGCTTCGTCACCGTCGACAAATCCGCCAGCCTCAACCCTTGTTTTTGACCTTGATCTCCTTGTTGCTTTGCGGAAAGGTAATTGTAGTTGCACTCTTCATCCCATTTCTAATTATGTGTTTGTATCTCACCTTTCTGCTTCATGTCGCTAGTTTGTTTCCATATGTAGCAAGCTGGGACTATATGACATAATCTCCAGCTTGAGAGGGAGTGGTAAAGCCAGTTGTTGAGGGGTAGTATAGTCAATTTACATTGTTTTATATGCTGATGTAGTTGCAAGTAGATCACAAGTTAAGTGATGTGTCCCTCACTTAAGTGAGGGCACAATAGACTTTGTGCAATGTTTTAGAAAGCTATAAATAGAACTGGCCGACTAGAGAGAGATTACCCTAGTCCGAACCAGATATTGTTTTCTCTCCTCTTCTTTTCTTCTCTTTTCGTTCTCCTAATCTTTCTCCATATTTATTTCTATTTATTATTTTGAACCTAAGAATATCGCTGGTCTAAACTTTATCAAAAGGCATGGGAGGCATACGCCTAGAGGTGCACCTCAGGAAAGGTGCCCCAAAACACCCTGAGGAATATGCTAGAGGCATTGGTACCTTGTCTCATGCACACCTCATACAAAAGGACAGATAGAAAGAAAGAAAGAAACAAAGGCAAAGAAAGAAACAAAGGGGAGAAAAAAAAAGAGAAAAGAAAGAAAAGAAAAGGGAAGGGAAAACCTCCCTTTTAGTTAGTATTATGCATTGTCATTCTTCTTATTATAAAAGATTTTATTGAAAAATAAAGAAAAATGAGATCCTCCTTGCATCATGCCTCTTAAGTTTTGTACTAAACTTCACACCTCTAGGTAGTGGAGTGCCTTGCATCTTGCCTCCACGATTTAAAACTTCGCTGAAAATTATGGACATGGTGGAAACATTGTGAAATATGCAAAAATAGGGTATTATTTTATGTAATGAGGGAGATAGGAAACTTGGGGAGGGAACTAGCAATCATCATCTGTTTGGTTCATAGATCAGCAAATCGCGTGGCTGATGGAATGGCTAACATGGTGTCAATAGAGGCCAATTTTTTTGGGGTCAATTAAGCAAGTATGAAATGTAATGATAAAGTATGGGTTAGGTGGCAGCAGTTTTTTAAAAGCGCAAGGTGCAAAAAAAGTGCAAGGGCCAATTTGTGCTTGAGGCACAAGGTGCAAGGCGCAAGGCGAGTCGCGTGCCTTTTTAAGAAAGGTGCAAAATTACAAAAAAAAAGCTAAAAACTAAAAAAAAAAGTCAGAAAATTCATAAATGCCAAAAAATTTAAAAGAATGCAAAAAATTCAAAAAATATTAAACATAATGTTAATAAAAAATATAAAATTAAATTTTAAAATAAGTGTTTTAAAAAACCTATTATCTAAAATTAAAATACATAAACATAACATGTAATGTGTATTCAAATGAAAATTTAAAAATAAAAGCAAACATATAAAGCATTTTCAAGCATGTAAAACCCACAATCTCTTTTTCTCAATTGCATTGCTTCAAGTAGCTAATGTGATGTAAAACATATTGCATTCTTGATTCTATGAGTCGCCTTTGTACCACGCCCCTCAAGGCAAGCCCAAACAAGTCTATGTTAGGGTCTGAAATTCTTATTTCTCTCATAAAAAATAACGATTTTATAACTTTCATTGCCTTTTAAGAAGATATTTTATTGCAATCAATGAATGAACAACATTAGCAAATAGGCGCATGCCTGGGCTGAGGCATGTGCGCCTAGGACTTGGGCGAGGCGCATACTCCAAAATGCGCCTTGCCTGTGTGCCTAGGCGCGCCTTTTTAAATCACTGGGTGGCAGGTGCCAGACTAAAAAAGAGGCTTGGCATGTTTTTTCTACACTATATATTCTTTATTTCATAATTAATAAAAGTTATATTTACCAATCATGGTTGTCAAGTTGCCAAGATGAAGCTAGGCTATAGGGGAGCCTAGGTTACAAACCTTGTTCATCTGAAATCCAGCTTTTACTCCATCATGCCTTAAAACTTCCAATCTTGGCACTTTGTAGAGCTTTTGAATTCACCAAATCACTTGCTGCCACCTAGCCATTCTTCTTCAAACCCTCTACCTTACCCTATGCGAGCCTCCAGCCATAGGGTTGCTTCGATGGAGGTCGCCTACCACACTGGGTAAAAAAAAAAAAAAAAACTTATCAACAAAAACCTCTATCTTCTTGGGGATCTCCTCTAGCTTCACTCCATTGAGAAGAATAGTCATTGAGTGGAGATTTATCATGAAGACACCATCTAGGTGTCCACCACATTGATGCAATAGAGCTGAAGACTTCTTGCTTCTGCAGGTGGAAAGGAAGACCAACAATGTGGACAATAACATTATCTTCCACACAGCTTCTTTGCATTGGAAGCAGACCAACTTGACACCAATATACTTCCAAAATCTTTTTTTTTCTTTTTTTTTTTTTGTTTTTTGAAAACTGTAAGGTAAAGTAATTCATTAAAAACAAAAGGGCAGCATACAAAAGGTCCCTGTACAATGAGAGACTGTACAGCTGAAATAGACAGAAAAACCTCAGAAAAGCTAGCCTCCGAAAAACAACCCAAAAAAATTCTATGATCTTCTTACAAAAAGGAAATCGGGCTCAAAAAAAGAACATGTTTGCCTGTTTTAAAGAGTGGATGGTTTGTCAGCCACAAAAGCACCATCCTTATAATCCTGTTGAGCACCTCTTCTTTTGATTTCTGCCTTCAAAAATTGTGGGGAGGATACTCCAAGCTACTTTTCCAGCCTTGCTGTGGCCTCCTAGGAAGTTATGATACAAAGACTACAGTTGAGGCTATGATATTTCCAAAATGTGATTGTAAATTAGAAGCTATGATGGCCTTCTTCTCAGGCCCCATTGGACATAGAGGCTTAAAAAGGGTAGAACTCTTTTAAGTGATACAAAGACTACGGTCGAGTCAAAACCTCAATTAGAGGATCATGGTGGAGGGTGATTTCAAAGTAATGGTGGCATTTGTTGAGGATAGTCAGCATATTGGCAGATGAACTAATTGCACCATTCCATTGGACTCATAGATGTGCTAATAGTATGGCTGATGCCTTAGCCAAACAAGCAATTAATAGGGTGCAACTGTATTGAGAACTGGTCCCAATGGGGAGCCAGCTGTTAATAAATATAACTCACGGGGTAGGTAGTGGATACTAGCCTATGAAAGGAGTTCCATATACATTGTATTTGTGAACTATTCTTTTAAAGATATTAATAAAATGTTTGATTGTTACTGATCAAAAAAGTGATCATCATCATTGTCACCATGTTCATTATAATGTCTCCTAGCATTGCCAGTTGCTACCACCTGCTCTGCTTTTTCTCATGATTTCTTCAGCCATTACTATTCATGCCATTCCTTGCATCGATATTGCAAACACAGTACGTATGACATAAAGACAATGTTATCTTGTCCATAGTTCACTAGTGATGCATTGGCATACATCAAGTTTCATTAAATTGAAAGTGATGTCTCTTGGTTGTGATCAGAGCCATGATGTGTAAATAGAAGGAAAACTCATGCACATGTAGTGTAGTCTTGTCCAAAATTTTCTAGTATCACATTGGCATACATCTGAACTTTTCTCAAATTTGATCTCTTCCTCCTTGACGATAACTGTTTTTACTTACATCAATGCCTAAGGATTTTACTTAAGTGCTTCTTTTATTTCTTTTCATTTTTCTATCTTTGATGTTTTTCTTAAATCCTCCTGCCTCTGGAATTTCAGATGGTGCAAGATATGTATTCTGTTCATAGGCTAAATTGTCAAATACATTCATTATTTTGTCTTCCTGTATCAGTGATTGTTAATCAATTGTTAGGTTTCCTACAGGCATTAAATTTTTGTCTGGATGGCCATAACGAGAGGTGCAGTGAAAGTTCTACTATGTATGATATGCAGAGGAAGAAAATAAATTCTCAGAAGGCAACATCATTACCTTCATCTCCTCATGGATTCAGGATGCAGACTTCTGGAAGGAGTATACCTTCAGACTATGGAGGGAATGCTGAAATGGTCTCAACATGGAATAAAGTCCTTGAATCTTCAACAATCCTAAACAAGCCATTACTACCTTTTGAAGAATGGAACATTGATTTCTCAGAATTAACTGTTGGAACTCGTGTTGGAATTGGTGAGCATTATTTTCCAACTTAGTCCTCTACGTTTCTAATCTTGCCTTGGTTCACTCTGCTCTTTTACTACCTCCTCTTTTTGATCAATAAAAATAAATGATGAGTCCGAAAAATAAAAGAGCTAGGCAAAACTTGATCTCTTTCTACAGGAATGGATCTCAACATTTTGAGCTATTAGTTTTCTTCCATGGTTATATCCACATAATATCTGTGTATGAAGTTCCATATTTACATGTATGTTTGTGGAGGGTGGAATACACCACTTCAACAGACTGGTATGGTTAAATGTTCGTGTTGATCTGGTAATTGTTGGTTGCTTGGTCCATAATGTCATATGTTATTTGTGCATGCATGTATTTTGCATTGCCAATTCTTACTACGCAAACAATTAATGGGGATATAACCAAAGATGATATATCCCCACATCTACAAAACGACAGATTTATAAGTGCAAACTTTTTCTGCTATTTGGCTACTATGTTTCTGTTCCTTATAATAACTGAGGCTCAGTTTGGAAAGAGTACAAATACAAATATGTACAGTGCAAATACATACAAAATAATAGAAAATACAGGGTTTTACACACTAATATTTGTATTTGTACTCCTTCAAAATTGAGCCTAAGGCTGTGTTTGGCTGCAGTACAATTTTATTTGCACTAGTACAAATGTATGGGAGTGCAAATGAAAAAAATGCAAATTTGGGTGTAATTTTGTTTTGGATTTTACTTCATTCTACTTTGGGTCTTATTTTACTTCATTTTTACTGCAACCAAATAAAGTAAGGTAAAATTTGAAACAAAAATAAATCAAAACTTGCACCCAAATCATTCCACTACCATAGTTTTGCATCAGTGCAAATGAATTTGCACTGCAACCAAATATAGCCATGAAAATTCATTTTACTTGGGGGTTATATAGAAGACCTTGTAAGTTATCCACCTCAAATTCACACAAATGCAGGATATCATATGAATGTTAGGTGAAACCAAGATGTTTGGGTAGGACCGGTAGGTAATCCTGTGTTATCTGGATGGGTTCATTACATGATTTGCTTGTGTCAGGTCTTTGGTCTATCTCTTAAGGAATGTGACAACCTCTGTTCAATTATGGTCGAGTCTATGCCTGTTGGATAAAGTCTGGAGGGTCTTGACCACAATTCTATGAAATTCTACCCTCAAATGATTATTTTTTATCAACTACAAAAACATTGCCAAATAAATTACAATAGGCACTTTTGTACAGAGCTTCATGGTATCTGGGTTCTAGTGAGCATGAATTCTTGTTACATATTGAAATACATTTTATTGATAGGCCTTTACCTAATGCTGATCCCAATTATCTGGGGTCTTTGGAGGAATGGACTAGATATGGACCACAGAAAGCAGCCACTCACAGACTCAACCTGCATTCTCACATTTGTAAGCCTGAATTGCACTAAATTATGGCCCCATATTGAAATGCATTTATCTATTACATTTTTCTTTTTTTGGAAAAATGGTTATTATACTTCAAATTTGTAGATTGTTGCCAGTACCTTGATGAAGTAATGGAACTGGTATTCTGACCATGCAAGAGTCAAACTAAGGAGCTATACGTGTTTTAGGCTGGTATTTGTAGAATGAAGATCTTGGAGATCTTTTCCATTTAGAGATGTTGATGGACTTACTCCTTTAGTGAACTGCATGTGGAAAATCTCCCTTATGCTGTTATATCTTTGGCTGTAACTTAATACCTTTGTTTATGAAGAATTTTTAGATCAATAATTAGATCTAACTAAATGTAAGGCAATTCTTGTAACTTAGAAAAAAGGTTGCTTATGTTGGATTATATCTCAATGAAATATTAAATTATTCATTAAAAAAAACATTACAGGTGGAGTCTTAGTCACTTTTCTGTATCCTTGTATAAAAACTATTCCATATCCTCCATAGTTTATTACTCATCCATGGATTATCTTGGGATTTGGGATTAGGTGTGGTTTTAGAGACCACACAAATGATACTTTTATCTCCTTGTTTATTACTTGAAAGATGCTTTCCTTCTCTCCAAGGGGAGGGATAATAGTTTGTGGTTTGTCAGTCCTAATGGTTCTTTTTCATGTTAGTTCTTTTCAAAGTGCTTTTTTCGAGTCCTCACAACCCATCTCTTCCCCAGGGATTCCTAGTAGAATCTATTTGGTCAGGGCCTCCTCAAAAAATAAGAGCATTATATTGGGAAGTGATACTTGAGATTATCAACACTTACAGGACGCATCAGTTGTGTAGATTGAAGTCTCAGTATTTATCCTGAAGTTTGTCTTTTGCAAGAACATAGGATCTTTCATCACCTTTTATTTGTCCCTTTGCCTGTGGAGTATTATGACACTTGTTTTTGGATCCCAGTAAAATGTTTTGGTTGACATTAGGAGGTTATTTTAGCATGTAGGCAGCCCCATATAGTTGGGATAAGGCTTGGTTGATGATTGGTGATGATGATGATTTTCATTGGCTAATGGGGAGGGAGATTCCATATGAACAGAAGCTTTATCACTATTTTAGGGTTCCTCTGGTGTAGATGGCTTGAAGATTCAGGGAGATTCAGGTGATGATATATTGGATAATATCAGATAAGCAATGACAGCTAGGACATTATATTAGGGAGTCTGGAATTTTGGTAATAAAGAACGAAAGCTGATTCAAATGGATCCCAAAGTCCATAAACTTCTTTGCAAAGTAACTTGGTGAAAGGAATTTGGAGATACTTCTTGTGGATTACACCAATCCTAGAATAGACTGTAGTGGATGATATGTTTGCTATATTTTTAGCATTTTCAGCACCAGGACAGTCTTTCTTTTTCTATTCTGTTTGAGATAGGTATGCTTTTTCATCCTTTATTAACAGATCACTTTTAAAAAAAAGTCATCCTTAAAAGACTAGCATCTTGATTTAATTGTTGTCTTTGGTTAACATACTATATTTTTTTTTTGGTTTCTAGGATTCTTTGGAGAAGTTTTTCGTGGAATATGGAATGGTACTGATGTTGCAATCAAGGTTTTCCTAGAGCAAGATTTGACCACTGAAAACATGGAGGATTTCTGCAATGAAATATCTATTCTAAGGTAGTTTTTTGATTGATTAGTGAGTTTCAGCTTAATTAACCTCATTTTTCTTCTCTGACCGTGAGCTTGTTTTGTTCTTTTCAGCCGCCTTCGACACCCAAACGGTACTTTACTAGCCATACTACTACTCATTTTTTACCTTGTCATATTTGATATTTCTTCCCTTGATTATGTCCTACATTATCCATGCATGTCAACAAGAAAGACACTTTACGGTTTGTACGAAGTGATTATTTCACCTCAGAATTTTTCACATGTTCATGAAGTGATGAATGTTTTTTTCTGCAGTTATTTTGTTCCTTGGTGCATGTACAAAGCCTCCACACCTATCGATGGTAACTGAATACATGGAGATGGGATCATTGTATTACTTGATTCATATGAGTGGCCACAAAAAGAAACTCAGCTGGCGCAGAAGATTAAAAATGCTGCGTGATATATGCAGGTTGGTTCAGCTGTAACCCATCACATTGGAGCTTATATTATTATTCATTGATATATACATACAAAACCAAGTGCCTATTATTTTTCAACTTGAGTTATAGTTTTTGGCTTTTCATTTTTCAGTACTTAATCCCAAGCCAACTTGCATTGTTGTTTAATCCTTCTTGTCTTAGTCAAGGAAAACAAAATTTTATCAAGGGAACATTCAACTTGTACATGTCATAAGATTCTTTATGTGCATTTATTTTGTTTTGTACTAAATGGGGTCCAGGAACAACAATACTCCTTTAACTTGGGTAAGCATATGTCATACACACCTCTCTACTCAGATTTCAAATAACCAAAGTGAAAATCTAAATGAAGCTTTTATTGGGTCAATGATGAAGACTAGAAAAGGAAAATGGAAGAAGAAAAAATGCTATTGGTTCACAGAAGATGAATTGTCTGCTATGATCTCTCCTTCCTCAGGTTCCTTACTACCACCACCACCACCTTCGATGACCCCATGGTATGCCATTCTCTTCTATTGTTTTACACTCTCCGGTTACCCTGTCATTGTAAACGGCCAAGTTATTCTATTATTTTGTTATATTTGTAGACTCAACAAAAGTGTTCAGCTCTTCCTTTACAGGTTCCAGACTCAACTAGAAAACTGAACCAAAACAACTTTTCATTGCTTTAATACTAAGACAAATCTATAGTTGACCCCTAGCAACGCTCAGATAAGGACTCTAACTCATACAACTTTTCTGATAACACTCTACTAATACCACTAAAACTAAAAAAAGCAAAAATAGCTCAGAGAGAGCAAGGAAATAGAAAGACTGAAATCACATAACAGATTAACATCCTATCAGTTAGAACTTTCTCAATAGCCTATCTAATGACACCAAAACAATGTAAAGTGGTAACTCTTAGAACTTTTAACTGTTAAAAATTCACAGAGATATCTAAAATTATACTTAAGCATTCACGACTCATTAAAATTACCCTATTACTAACTTTTTTTTTATCAGCAACAGAATGAAGACATTTATTAAATCAGAAGGAATTATACAATATTATGGGTAGCCTTGGCTACCCCATGATCTTAGGACAACAACAGAATCCTTTTATTACAGTTACAACTGAGCCCAAAAGCAATTCCCTCTATTGATCCTATGTTTAGCAAAATGATCAGATAGGCTGTTTGTTGATCTAGGAACCAACTGCACCATCAGCAAATTACCATATTATTATCATAGTTGTAAAGGCAATTCCTATGTGACAAGGTGCTCATGGAAGGTTTCCTTGCTTGTGTGCCTACCTGGCTTGTATATGGTGCTATGAAATTTTTTATATTCTTTATTTTTGAGATTATAATAATAAAATAATTATTAAACTAAGTTATCCATTTTTGGGGTTTATATAGTAGTTTCTTTTTATTCTTATTTGTTAGGGTTCATTCAATACACATGGTGTATGCAGTCTTGTACCCTCGAAGGCTTCAAAACCTGAACTGATAAGCAAGGAATATCTTAAAATTTTATCCAATCAACACATATCTTCTCATAAATATGTTTTTATATGAAATTTATGCTTTTTTAAATGAAGATTATAGATAATTACTAGTGAAAGATGGTTTCTGATTGCTAAGAAACCTAGTGAATTACCCAGGATTCATGGTTTTTATTAAAAAAAATCCATTGCGTAGGTAACTAGGCACCTCCATGTGTAGGAGTGTTCACAGTTCAGACTAGTGAAAGATGGTTTTTGATTGCTAATGAACCTAAGGAACTATCCAGGATTCATGACTTTTATTTAAAAAATAATAATCTATTGCCTAGGCAACTAGATGCCCCCACGTCTAGGGGTGCTCCCATTGGCATATATTTGAAACTGAACTGGTCCTTCAGTTTTTGAAAAATACCAAACTCAAATCGAACCAGTTGAGCAGTTTTATTTTAAAAAAATAATTTATTGCCTAGGAAACTAGATGCCCCCACGTCTAGGGGTGCTCCCATGGGCATATATTTGAAACTGAACTGGTCCTTCAGTTTTTGAAAAATACCAAAGTCAAACCGAACCAGTTGACCAGTTGAGCAGTTCAGTTTTTCAATTTTTTATGAGCACCCCTATCTTTCACTGGTTTATCTATAATCTTCATTTAAAAAAGTATAAACTTCATGTCACCTAGCCTTGGTGCCTTAAAAACTGTCTACTATGCTACTACTAAAAAAATTATAAAATAACTCATAAATGACTTAAATTAACCAAAATCCAAAACTATGAAACTTCCACTGGTACAGGATTTTGAAGAAACTTCATTTGTTTTCCATGATTTCTTTTCCTTTTCCATGTCAGTGACTCTATCAGTTCTATTGGATGTCTCCGAAGAGACATGTTGGTATCAAGTTGAGCAGTACCAAGGACTATAAAATGTTTGGAACAAAGTTGTCAAAGTTGATTTATGTTCTAATATCCAAGTCAGGTACATCTAGCAGCCACACAATGGTAAGAGTATCAAACTGCTAGTAAGCTAGTTAGAGAGCAACCTATGACTTTTGGTCATTGGCAATTATGGCTAGCAGATATCCTGAGTCCAACTTTTCTCCAGGGTAAAGGATTTGCACCTTCATGCAGTTAATGTTTTGTTCTCCAAGCCTGTCTGCTTGGTTGAAGCTGATGGGACTGATACAAGCTTATATATGGTTTTTCAAGTTTATCCAACTTGGGCGATGGATGATGCTATGCCATTTCAACCTAGGCCTTTTTTTTTTTTGATAAATATTTCCACCTAGGCTATTAAACATAATAATTTCTCTATCAGAAGCATATTATAATACCAAGTGTGACTGATCCAATTACATGTCATGACTCGTGGTGTTGAACCAAGTATCCGCATGCCTCATCTCTATTAGATGTCAATTATGACCTAACCTCATAAATTTGATTTTAGTTATGGAAACACAACCTCTAACTGAGTTACTCTTCTGAAAATGAAGGGGATTGATGTGCATACACCGGATGAAAATAGTTCATCGTGATCTCAAAAGTGCTAATTGCCTTGTGAACAAGCACTGGACGGTCAAGATCTGTGATTTCGGACTATCACGAGTAATGACGGAGAGTCCCATGAGAGATTCCTCTTCTGCAGGAACTCCAGAATGGATGGCTCCTGAGCTCATCCGCAATGAACCTTTCACAGAGAAATGTGATGTGTTCAGTCTGGGTGTGATAATGTGGGAACTCTGCACTCTAAACAGACCATGGGAAGGTGTACCAGCAGTGCAAGTAAGTAGGGCATGGAATCTGTTTGCTATCTAAGTTGCAAAAGGAAACACAGGATCCTCCAACATTGATTTTTGTGCAATGATTCAGGTAGTCTATGCAGTTGCTAACGAGGGATCGCGGCTAGAAATTCCTGAAGGTCCCCTGGGCAAGTTGATTGCAGGTATGTATTAGATTACAAATCTGATGCCGGATTTATTGTTGGTGACAATTGAATGGGAAGCTCACCTTGTGGAATCCTGACTGCAGATTGTTGGGCAGAACCGGATGAACGACCAAGCTGTGAAGAGATACTCTCGCGCTTGCTCGACTGTGAATACACACTCTGCTGATTCAGTTTTTATTGTATAGAAAACAGTGTAGAGGTTTTCAACTTTTGTCAGCTTAAGTTGTAAAAATAGTCAATGCTTTTATTATTTTCAAAAACAAAACAAAACAAATTATTGATCATCTCGAGTTACAAGTAAATTTTTTTCATCTCTCCAATTCCAAGAGTTTGTTGAATGCCATGCGACTGAAAATGCCAAGCTTAAATACACGCTGTAGTCAAATTAATGACTGGAAACCATCCCAGTATCACCCTCTTCTGTTAACTTGTTGAGATTTGATCGCACTGTCAAATTGTTTCCCAAGAAAAGTTTATTCAAAGCCGAATCTCTACGCATTGCTGAACCATGCAAAAATAGAAGCAAAACAAAATTTCCAGCTTGTGCAATTGTGTGATGCCAACCAAGTCTACAACCCCATCTCATCTCAATCAGGAATCTGGCGCCTATTCAGTGCATCCTCGAATCGACTGCACGACTCTGCGCGCATCTCTGTGCTCATATCATTTTCTGGTGCTGGATAGTAGTCTTCTCTCAGCTGCATATCTCTGAGATTTGGTATGTTGAGGAGAAACGTCATGAAGTGTTCATGGGTAGTCCCGTGGATAAACAGTTTCCTCAGGGTGGAACACTGTTGAAGCAAACCTGCTGCAGGGAGGGAAAGGCTCCTCTGGTTAACATCCCTGTCCTGTGGTGGCCAGTAGTCAAGCTCACTCAGGTTCAGATTACCAATTCCATTCAAGTAAAACCTCTCCCACAAACTCAGATCCATGTGCCCGGTTGGAGCAGTTAGCGCATAACCTATTGCATCTCCACAATCGAGATGCATCTTAAACAGTCGAGCATAACGCGCAAGGGAGCTCAATCCGAATGCACGCTCTGTTGGTTTCGGCCGCTTCCTGCAGTCACCTTCCACCTTAATTCTGATTTCCTCCAGAACAGGGCAACTGTCTAATCCAGCTAAAGTCAGAGGAGTCAACAGCTCGCCAACGGGGATCCAAAGGGAGAGGTATTGCAGCCGAGACCAACATTTCTTCTTCTTGGGACTATCATTCACGGCGTACCTGCATTTCTTCTTCTTGGGACTATCATTCATGAACCCAGCAGCAGCAGAGCAATTGGATGTGCTGGCTTCCTCCGCAGATTCATTGAGGTCGAAAGCATGTCGAGGGGCGGACTTATCGCTAGGAATCTCGGACTGCGGTAGGCTGTCCCATATACAATCTATGTGCAACCGCCGGATCCTGTCCCGGATTGGCACCAGAGCTCTCAGTGAGGATGCAGCATCGAGGTTTTTGCAGCAGGAGATGTTCACATCAACCAGCGTTTTCCGGAGCATGCCAGCCAAGTTCCTCATTCCCGTCTCTGTGATGTTATTACAACCTTGAACCTCGAATTTGGCCAGTTTTGGGCAGCCACGGGAGATGGCCAGCAAACCAGAGTCGGTGAGATCGCCGGTGTTCTTGATGGACAAAGACTCCAGCCCACTGCAGAGTGCAATGCCGTCTAACACAGATTCAATGGCCTTGCAGATTCCATGGAACTGTCCTAGCTTCAGCGATTTCAGACCTGGGCATCTCGAATTCAGCACCTCCAACGCAGGCCCCGCATCCATGACATTGCGGCAAACGTCAAGGGTCAGTTCTTCAAGCAAGGGAAGGGCGGCAAAGAACTCCTCAAGAGCTGTTCGACTGATGCTCGCATCTTCTGCAGGGAACCCATCATCGTCTAGGTCGGGACGGGCATTGGAAAGGGAGGATGAATCGGCGAGGTGGAGGAGGGTGAGACGGGGGCAGTGAGATGCAAGAGCCAGCAAGGCTTCGTCCCCGACGAAATCCATGAACCTGGGATCGAAGACGCAGGCGGCGAGGAGGTGAGTGAGGTTGGGGCAGGCGCGGGTGATGGCAAGAAGTTCTTGCGAATTGAACCCCTCGGTGGAGAGGGTGAGAAGATTGAGGCGGGAGAGGGAAGCGGCGACGGAAGGATGAGCCTGGAGGGCGGGGGGGAGGTCTTCGGTCCAGCAGTAGAAGTGGGAGAGATCGAGAGAGGTGAGGGTAGAGCAGTGCTCCAGCAGAGGAAGGAAATCGGATCCGGGAGGGATGATACTGGAGCGCTGATGCCAGCGAACGAGCTTGACGTGACGGAGGGAGGGCCACTGAGGGGCGAGGAGGAGGAGAGTGGAAGGCGTACGGGCGTAGAGGGTGAGGGAGGTGACAAGTGGGAAGGCTTGGCGGAGGAGCTGGGCGAGGAGTGGAGAGGAGTCGAGGGGCGATTGGCCCCATGGCGAGAGCAAGGAAAGGTCGAGGTGGGTGACAGCCCTGAAGCTGGTGGGAATGAGGAAGAGGTCGCGAACCTTGCCTCGCAGGGTGATGGAGGTGCGCGTCGACCGCTCCAGCAATAACCATTTCCGGCATACCAGCGACATGGCGTTTCGGGTCCGAGTGTCGACCACCAGGGCGAAGATGTTGGAGAGTATCACATCCGGCAAGTCATGGAAGTGGATGTTTCCGGCGGCCATTTTCAGGTGGATTCTCGACGACGATGTCGAGATCAGGCACGCATAACATAATCAGAAGTTCAGAACTCAGAAGAGAGAGAGAGAGAGAGAGAGAGAGAGTAGAAGTTCGTGTGTGTGACGTGGTGGCCTAGGAGATGTAGATGTGGAGCGGCTTAGGAGTTGGAGGAGACGATGAAGATTACAGTAATGGAAACCGGTGGTTTTGTCGCCACATGGGAAGCGTCCATGTGATCGTCATCCATTTGCTCTACCTTTTCTCTCTCTCTCTCTTTCTTTTTTGTCTTTATTTTCTTCGCTTCTTCCCTTTTCTATTTTTTTTCCTATTTTTATCTCTCCCTTCATACTGATTACTGATTAGTGATGAGTCTGATGACTGATCTGTGATCTGCGCACGAGAATATTAAATACATAATTATTTATTTTTCTTGTTATTTATTTTGTAGCTCATCCCAGTTACCCCACACACCACACACCACACACCATAGGATTGGAATAATGAATGGTCCCCAGTCGTGTAGGTCCCACAATTTATCCAGATCAAGTGTTTGTCAGAGTCTGCTCCCCTGAGTATCCTATCTGGCTATCTCCATTGAATCACTACCCTCCCACTTCCTACCCTCCTAAATAAATGGTTCGACGTCCATGTCAGAACTCAGAATCAGAGACTTGACTGTCTCTCTCTCTCTCTCTCTCTTTCTCCCCCTCCCTGCACCGCACCACCAAGTAAATGGGCTAGTCGGTAGTGGCCCGCTAATCCAAACAATGCCGATTAACTTGAGAATAGATCATGGGTTGGGGGCCCATTTCCATACTTTTTGACACTTTTTAACTTCTTCTAAATTCGTATCAACAACCCTAGTGGCTGGCTAGCCACCAGTTTCCCAGTGGTTGATGCCCACAGGCACCATTGGGTTGGAATCCTTTTTGTTGTTTCGGCATCATAGTCGAACTAGTTTCAATTTCTACACACCATTTGATCAGCTGTGGGGCCACAGTCCACTGGTTTCTTCATATCTTCCGTCCAATGTTGGCCGTCAGATGATTATGAAATATGAATCTGATCACTATGTAAATCCATTCTTTTCTTCTTACTTTTTTTCCTAATTAGAGTAAAATAAGGGCCAGATAAAAGGACAGTTGGGTGGGTGTGATCAGATGGGAGTTATGTCATGGGTGTACGTCGTTTTGGGATTTTTTGTTTTTGCCATGTGTAGGGTCCAGATCAAGTCGCCATCAGTCATTGAATTTCGTCGACAAATACCACGTGGTGAAAGAGAGCGCCCGCTCCCATGGACAATTGAGGAGGGGGGACGTGGCCTCTTCTAGTCCATAGAGATAGAATATAGAGAAGAGTCCCCAATGCCCAATGACCCAAATGTCGGTACACTCTTGTCCATCAGACTCTGAATCCCAAAATCAAACAGGTCCTCTTTGTGGGCCATAGGCCCATTAGCAACTGTACATTATTGTATTCACAAAAGAAAAAATAAATAAAGGGAAATACCAGGATCAATTTATGGATAGGATTTTGTCCCTTCTTTCTGGCCCTTTGTGTTTGATTGTCTCTTAATCCGAGGGTCCATATTCTTCAGTAAGCGAATCTTAGAGGGTGATGGGCCTGATGGCACAACTTCCAGTTCCAGGTGTGGGAAAATCAGAGAATCCAAGTCAAGCCGCCTTGCTTTCTTCTTCCATACACGTGTTTGTTGAATGTGGGGATGAAGAGAACCTACCAAACATGTGACCATACAGACCTAGCTGCTGGTTATTTTATGGATGGATCTCGGGACCCACAATTGGAGACTAGATGGGGTCCAGCTCAGTACATTATGTGACCGTCAGATTTGACACTTGCGTATCCAATGGCGAGGAACGGTACCCATCTGACAATGGTGTGTGTGCCGTTGGGTTCCTTCATGTTTTTCTCTATTGCGTTGCGTTTAAAAAAAAAATGGCAATGGCGCAATGCAACGGTGTTACCATTTTCTCATAAAACGGCAGCATATTAGAGACATTTCAGCCACCCACCATGCTTAATAAAAACATTTGGGTCCCACTATGATATGGAAAATCATACCATATCTAAAACCTCTATTACTGTCACACGTATACAGCAGTTATGGAATTTATTTAAGTAATCGGTAATTATTTTTTTTATATATTAATTAAAATTTAAAGCACTCTTTAACTTATCCGTTAACCCAATCCTTGTTATCTCATTCGACTTCTCTCTCTCCTTTTCAAATTGTAAATCCACGGATTTGACCCAAGTAAAGGATTTAGATTTGGTGAATACATACCACAGTCAAAATAATGTTCCCCTCCTGTAACCTTATAAGTGGAGGGGCAATTGGTTGATGGTTGTCAGACAAAGCTGGAATTGAACTTTAATCACCTCTGTTTCAAAATAATCTTGTCATCCTTATATAGCGCTTAACCTCTGCTAACATGCCAGCAATGCGTTGGGGATCCACCTCTGTATTTATTTTCCACTGTAAGGCATCAATTTGATCCTCAAATGATCACATTGTGTTTACAACTACAAGTGTTTCATCAACAAGATCAAATACCATGACAAAACAAGAATTGTAAAGCACTGGTGCAACAATATTAAAACCCCAAAAACATAAACACTGTTTATCATTCTTCCTAGATAATTGTAGTCTGTAAAGCAAAAAACAATAAACACAAGGCATAGTAAGTGAACAAAAATGCTTTGAGAAGTTGAAAATAAGCACATACAGGGAACTAGTAATTGAGTTGTATTTTCAGAGGAACTGAATGCTTACAAAGAAGCTGAAACACTTGGTCAGTCGGGGTTGGATATATTTCTGAATTTGTTACCAGCTAGAGAGATTTTGATATTTTGTTTTGTTACGATTTGTTATGTTGGAGTTGGAGTTCTACCAGGAAAGACCATTATTACCAGTACGATGTTGTATTATACGAATTAGCAGTTATAGTAATGTAAACAGAAATTGATCTTACCCTTATGGGTGTTCTAAGCTTTAATGCAGTTTGCCCCAAATGTAAAAATCGTTTTAGGCTCTGTTTGCTTTTCTATAAGTTATTTATCCGAGTAAATGCATTTATTTGGGTAAGTTTTTCCTAGGAAACACTTATCCCGGTAAGTGCATTTACCCATGTTCTTTTATTTCTCATGTAAATAAGGCAATGGTCATTTTAGTCATAAAAATGAATTATTGAAAATGACATTTTTGTCCCATTCAAGTGTTGACAACTTTCCCCCTAGGTGGGAAAATTATTTACCCACCACTTGGGAAAATAAGCTTTCCCTATTTCCCACATAAATCTGAAAAAAGAACATGGGATTCTTGGTCAATGGGAACCAAAATCCCATTGACAAACTTTTCCCCCTCTCAAAATCCAAAAAAAAAAAAAAACGCCCCCCTTAAAGACTCAATTTAGAATGAGTACAAATATAAATTTGTAGAAACAAAACCTTGTATTTTGTATTATTTTGTATATATTTATAGTATACATATTTGTATTTGTATGTGTACTCCTTCCAAACTGAGCTAAAAGCTATTAGAACAATATAATAGTTGTGAAGACTGGAGATTATATGTCGGATTTTAGGTTCAAATTCAGTAGTAAGTCAAGCAGAGTTCAATTTTCACAAAACCAACTGTGCTTTGGAAATTCATTCTCTCCCAACTTTTCGTTTCTTTCTGTTTGTCCTATCTATGGGCCATGGCCAGTGTCCTAAAACTTGAAAGTTGAAGGGCAATCCAATCAGGTTGATCTGGTCGAGTTAACCATCTTTTCTCAAATTGATTTGAGTGACCCGGCAAATTACTAGATATCAAATCTGATTGAATTGAGTCAGCTCAGCCAAGCCTTGCCAATGCCCACTGGTTTGTGGTTCCCACAATGTAAGCATCTAGGAGATTGAGATATGATTTCAGCTAAAAGAAAAAATAATGAGATTTGAGCATAGGGAAAAGCAGAACAAATACCCACATGTTTATATCATTTATTTATTTTATAATTTCTCATAAGAGATTGGCCACAGGATCCCTCCACATGGCACTAAGACAATTTTCTTTATTATAAATTATGTATTTGTTATGAATTTATTATAAATAAAACATCCATATCATGTCAAAAGAGTTGTTTTTTAGTAAATGGAGTTTAATCAAATTGATGACTTGCATTTGTTATCATTTCCCTTTTTTCTACCATTCAGTCATTCAATATGCAGACAATTTTGGAACTTTAGTGGGTTCAAAGATGAGGATGACAAATAGCTCCATTTCAATGAACTTCAGTAAAATCTAGAATTACATTACCTTTATTCCATATGTTGGGTCAAAACAAACCATACTATTGGGAAGCTTTTTTGTCAAGATATCTTTCAAAGACCATATTATTAGTTATTCCAATTCAACTCAAAAGTCGAAATTTTGCTTTGAGTAATCTATTTCTTTTCTTTTGACATCAAACATTGTGGTTGCCCTCTCTCTCTCCCCCTCTTTCTCTCTCTCTCTACCTAGAAAAGGGACAAATGAATTTTAATTGAAAAAATAAAATATGTGTAGAATGGAATGTATCCAATCTAGTTCTCAAAACATGTTGTTTAATAATTCAAGTTAGCTTATATGGTCCAAATAATAGATTTGATTCCAATGCAATGTCTCTCAGCTTTAATATTTTATCTGTTTTGGATTCTTGAAGAACTAAGTTGTGTGTAGCCTAGCCAATAAAAAACTATCACCATAAAGGCCTTCAAGTTGTTAGATTTCAGTCAAGGTTTAAAGTATCGGAAACATCAACTGTATCAGAAAGGCAATTTTAAGAATCGTATTAGGATACGCTTTGGATATGCATGTGTATCGGAGAAAAACTAAGATACGCATAGATGTGCTTGGAAACACTGTAAATACTTTAATAAATCATAAAAATACATCAACAACACTAAGTATAAGACGTCAATGAGGTATATATATATATTAATGGTTTTATGAAGAAATATATTGTAGTTAATTATAATCATTAAAAATCTTATGCTTAAATATAATTTATAAATTATAATTCTTAATTTTGAATGTTTTATGGGATGGGAAAAACCCAACTCTCCTGTCCTACCATAAAACATGCATTGGCGCAACTTCTATGTGAAAATATAATTAATAATTATTTATTATTTATTTCTAAAAATTATAAAAAATAAGTAAACATTATATAATACATTCAAAAAATAGTTATTAAAGAAGAAATTGCAATTGCTTTGTGGATATGATAGATCATCCATAGAATTATAATATATTCAATCATTGTGATCAAATGATAAAATATAATTAATTAATTATTTTTTTAATTCTAAAAATATAAAAAAATAATTATTAAAGAAGAAATTTCAATTGGTCTGTGGATATGATAGATCATCCAT